ATAGATAGATAGATAGATAGATAGATAGATAGATAGATAGATAGATAGATAGATAGATAGATAGATAGATAGATAGATAGATAGATAGATAGATTTTACATATTATAATACCCATATTAAGTATTTTTTTTCTGCTATTATTATTATTTGTTAGTACTATTACTATTATTATTCATTCATTCATTCTCGTGCATTCTGTTGCTGTGGGATTAGCTCGTGCAGGACTGCATGTGTCCATGTCCTCCAGCTGTCGTTGTTGCAGGAGGGCCTTTTGATTTGCGTGTGATGAGTTTCCCAGAGCATCTGGAGATCAATTATCCATCCATGAGCTGCGGGTTGGGCACAGAGATCATAGCTGGCTCAGTGTGTGTGTGTCACTCTGTGAAAGGCAATACATGCAGATTTATTCCGGGAGATTGGGGTAATTTTCTATACCTGCACCGTTTCAAAGGCAGAGGTGTGAGATGCTGTAACTTGATCTGAGTCGCTGCAGTAAAGGCACCACTTCAGATTTTCTTTTCTCACAATAAACGTGTTTAAAATCATTCTTTTGTGTTTGATTTTTGCTATATAGTTTCGTCCCTCAAACATATCCTTGCTCCACATTGAAATCCTCTCCTCATCCATCGCAGCCCTGAGGAAAATGCAGAAATGTATGAGAGAGGGCGCAGAACGCATCCATGATCCACTGGAATCTGAATCCTCGCAGCTGATTGGCTGCTGGCTGCTGCCTCTTGTTGGGATGGACCTGTTGGATAAAAGGACAATTTTCTAAAGGACTGTGTTACACAGAGGATCATGCACTGGGGACCATCCTGCAAGGCGCTGCAATAATAAAAAAAAGGCCTTTCAAGGAGCATAAAACACCCTCCACCATGACGGGGAAACAAGGAGCCGTGCTGTCGGGAAGTTTAAACCTCGCGGAGAAAACGTCAAACGGAGGGAGCCAGCAGCCGAAGAGCAGCTCCCACCACCCGCCGCCCAGGTGCACCGGCTTCGGCATCCAGGAGATCCTGGGGCTGAATAAAGAACCGTCCACGACCCCCAGGAGCCCGCTCGGCGCGCTGCCCGCCGGGGCGCACCTCATAGCCGCCAGGTCCGTGCTGGGCCCCGCCGGCGTGGGGGTGGGAGTCGGGATGGGATTACTGGGGCCTGGTGGGATTCCGTCGTTTTACGGCCAACCAGCGTTCCTGGAGACGGTTCTGTCTGAGGGACAGGATGTGCACCTGCAGCCGCACAGCAGGCCACTGGTCCGACTGGACACCAGCCAGTCCGCCAGCTCAGGTGAGCCTCACATTATTATTATTATTTTTTAAAGCAGTCTTTTTTAAAGGAGTGTTACATTAAAGTCTGTATTTATTGTATTGTTTATGTATTTTCCGTCTGAACACCAACGTCGTTCTCTGGTTTTAATCCAGACTCTGAGGATTTATCTTCAAATGAACGAAAACACTCCAAGTCTTCAGTGAGTCAGAACAAGAAACGCAAGAAAAGACGTCACCGGTCAGTGTCCCTCTCTGTTAGAGTAATAATAATTAATAAACACTATAAATAATTAGGCCAAAGCTCTGATTTGTTTTTCTAAAATATCCTAATTGTGTCTGTGCATTTTTCCCTAATTAAAATTGAAATAACTGTACTTTTTTTGTTTATTTCGGCTTTGTGTCATTATTTCTATGCAGCCCAAATGATAAAAGCAATTACCAAATCTTAAAAAATAGATACATGTTTACTTCTTAATAAAGCCGTTTTCATTTTGGAGTTCAGCATCGTTTGGTTTCCTCTTTACATCTGCTGTAACAAAAATTATATCAAGAAATATTAGCGGGAATATAATTAAATAGTCCTCTATTTTCGTTTCCTTTTCACAAGCATTATTAATGACAAAGCCTGAGAATGTAACTCATGTTTTTTTTTTTCTATCCACGGAAGATTATTTATTTAAAATATTTACAATAATCCCCCTGCTTCCACAGAACCATATTCACCTCCTATCAGCTGGAGGAGCTGGAGAAGGCCTTTAATGAGGCTCACTACCCGGATGTTTACGCGCGGGAGATGCTGGCCATGAAAACAGAGCTACCTGAAGACAGAATACAGGTGAGCTATAATAAAATCATCTGTTTCATAGATGCAATATATACATTATATATATATATATATATATATATATATATATATATAAAACTATTTTTTATACTACTGTGTCTAAAAAAGTGTGTCAATTGAAAGAAATCTTATGCAAACATTTTAATTATTTTGTTCAAATTACCATATTTTAATGTTACGGTTCGTTACATTGGTGCATTCTACATTTACATTTACAATGCATTTATTTTATTAGTTTATTAAAGAAATGTAATAAATCAAACTTTCGTCATAAGGTGCGTGTAACCCCAAATGAGCTTTATATAAAATATGTTTTTTTTTAAAATTGCCTTATTTATGTTTTCAGATGGACATATTGCAAAATAAATAAATAAATAAACAAACAAATAAATAAATAAATAAATAAATAAATAAATAAATAATAATTTACAAAAAAATAAACTTAACTAATTTGTGTGACATGGGTGAAGCAGTCATGTTTGGGTTTCGGACACAAGTTGCTCGTGCTCCTCTGATGTTTAGAAGGACCTGGTTCCCCCCTCCATCCATGAAATGGACCCCTGAAGCCCCCCTCCTGCCTGAACCAAGCCTGCTCTCCTCCTGCAGCAGCAGCATCCTTCGCCAGGACAGATCATCTCTCATCAGGCACACTTGGATGTGAAACAATTTGTTCTCGACGAAGCAGCCACTAACGACCTAATCAAGCCACGAAGGCGGAAGAAGATTGCGGTGTGACCTGGACCCATCCATCTGCGCGCGCTGCCTTTTTAATCTCGTTCTCATTACGGGCTGCATGGCCGAGAATAAATAACAACAATAATAAATGAAATAAATCACTCCATCAGCTCGGGCCTGGGTCCTCTCCGAAATAAAATTAACACCCAATTTTCTCATTTGGGTGTAATTAGTTAAATCAGGAGGCTGGCTGCGCTGCAGGAGAGTTCAAATCAAATAACTACATTGAATTTATTAGCGCGGGTCAATAGCTGTGCTCCCGGGAGTCCCGGTAGTTTAATTTCCCGTGATATTTGCCCGCCTGCCCACCATCGATTGGGCCTGAAATTAACTTATTTTTCAATCAGCCTCGGCGTGCCCCTGGGTCGCTCCTCCTCGCCGCTTTCACACACATGGCGCCTTTTGAGGGGCTACAGAAGCAATTTCTTTTTGGAGGCAGAAAAAAGAAAGAGTGTCTTGTATGAAATAAGGGTTATCATCAGAATTTACCAGGGGAGGAAAAGCTTAGGGATCATTTGATCGTCGTGCAGTTTAATATTTATGCACCACCACTTCTTGAAGCTTATCACTTGGGCCACCTTTTTTAGCTGACAAGAAGACTGCTGGGCTTTAGCCATGATGGTGGCTGTGGAGAAGTGAGGAGCTTAGATTTATCTAAAGGATCACCAGGAAACTGAAGCAGAGAGCATTTACACCAAGAATCAATGACCATCTGGCATCACATTATTTTAAATGCTTAAAATTATTTTTGATGCGCCCCAAAATACAAAAACATCTTAGTGCAAGCATTAAAATGCATGGCTGTTTGCTAAATATATGAGAACTTCAGAACTTGCAGTGATGTTTTTTTTTTTTTTTTTTAACTCCAAATCTGGAAGAAAAAAAAGTTTTATACATCCTCCATTTTTAATCTTCTTTTATTATTATTATTTATAAATAGTAGAGTACAGGTTTAAGAACATTTGGAAAGTTGAGCCCATGCTACTGAGGTGTAGGAAGTATAGGGGTGCGGAGGGTGCTGCAGCACCCCGGATGGACGCAGCAGCCTGCTGAATTTTAAGTATATTTACTGTATTTTATGGTAATTTATTCTGTATTTTTGCCAGATTATGGTGATTCTGGGGTCGTGATGATGGGGCCCTTGAAGATTGTTGCCCAGGGTACAGTGAAGTGTTAATCCGGCCCTGGCAGCAGGAGGCACTTTCAAAATACACTGTTGAATTATTAGTTAAAAAAAAAAAAAAAAAAGAATAAAAGCAGATTTCATTTGTGCTGCATTATATACATAACTTTCAATACTTTGATATTTTTGGATTTTGTAATTTTGGTACAAATATATATCCACCAGCTTTTATTGTTGTCATAAATTGGTCATGGTCAATAGAAATGTGCCTTCTTTCCAAAAATAAAAATAAAATAATACCTCTTTCCATGCACAGTTAAACCAAAATGTCTACAGAGAAATACATAATAAATAAAAATATGTAATGTAAAATAAGTGATTGGATGAACAACCGCTCTGTTTTCATGCCTGTGCATTATTAAGCGGCTCCTCATTCAACTCAGAGAAAAGATTATTGAAAAGCACAAGTCGGGGGAAAGATACAAAATGATGTCCAAGACCCTAAACATCTCCAGGAGCCCAAATTCACGGAGTATGTGTAAATCTACCAGCAAGGAGAATAATAAGAGGCGCCACTCATTAAGGATTTACAAGCATCAGAAGGTGTGATGGAGAAACCTGCATACAGCAACTGTTGCCCAAGTTCTTCATCAGTCTAGCTTCATGTGAGAGTGTCAAAAAGTTTGTCTTGAATGTTTTTAAAAACAGGCAACAGTGACTGTATCTTTCCCATCTCACCTGCTGAAGCTTGTAGCTGCAGGTCACAGGTGTTTTGGTGGCCTCTCACTTTTCTCCTTCTTGCGTGGTCACTCAGTTTGTGATGACAAATCTTGGTAGATTTACACGTGGCCTTTATTCCTCCATTTCTTGATGGTGGATTTGTTTAGGGTTTTAGAAGACCTTTTATATCTGTCATTTAACTTGTATTTTTTTTTAATAATCTTTTCTCTGAGTTAATTGGGACAGTCATATGTGACTAACTGGTTTAAGTTGCAATGTTTGCAACAAGGACAATCTAAAATGTCTTGTTGTAGCTGAGGGTGATTTTTAGCTAATAACATATTGGATTCTTCTCGTGTCACAGGTATGGTTTCAGAACCGCAGAGCCAAGTGGAGGAAGAGGGAGAAGTGCTGGGGGCGCAGCACGGTCATGGCTGAGTATGGACTGTATGGAGCTATGGTGAGGCATTCGATCCCCCTGCCAGAGTCCATCCTGAAGTCCGCCAAGGATGGCATCATGGAGTCCTGCGCGCCCTGGCTGCTGGGTAAGGTGTTCTCTCTCTAACTCGTTCACGTTCGTTCTTATGTTGTACCTTAAATAGAAGACAGTGTGGTTGTGTGGAGTACTTATGAGCTGTCATTATCTTCCCTGCAATAGAGCAATCAGCTCAGTTTGGAGAATTAGGAAAATGAAGTCCATCTTGAAGCTACACAGCGCAGGGCCCTTAAAGGATCTCATTTAAATCCAAACTAAAACTAAATCTGAGCAGCTCCAGTGAACGATAGCTGGTGTTTCTACCCCTCCTTATGTTTGAACAACAATTACTCACATTGCCACTAATTTCTCAACCATCAACATTCAGTTGGTATGCTAAGGTGGCTTATTGTACAATGCGTTAAATCTGCGTTTTCTGTGACTACAAGAACGCATCAGTTTGAGCCAGATCATAGAAAGAAGACGTTTTAATCGCACCCATTTATTACTGGATAACACTTATATGGTCTCCACAACCTATATGACCTATTAGAACCAGGGTTGCCAGATAACAAATGGTTTACTTTTGTACAGTCACTTTAATGATTGTATTTTGACCCAAACTGTTATACGTGCTGAGTGATGATGTCATACGATGAGGTGTTTGGTGAACATGTGCACAAAAATAAGACCAGAAAAACAAAACAATATTGTTCAACTGGCAACCCTGATTAGAACCTGGCTGTACTGTGATAAATTTGAAAAACCTCCATTAAGGCAGTCATAACCCTCTATACCTCTGCACTGATGCAACCCATTGAATGTCCCAAACCACATCACAGCTAGATTGCTTCCTACATATGGTAAACCAGGCAATGTGCTTCAAAATTCTTGATGACCCAGTCACACCAGTGCACACAGCCCTCAGGTCATGGATAAACAGCCACCACCCAGGAGGGTGCTCACATCCCTGCTCATAACTACTCTACACAACCCCACCTAAAATCAGAACTAGCCCTTTAATGGCCTGAATTCAACAGTCAGACTGCATCTGAACTGGAGCGTGTGTTTGTTCAAGACACTTGTTCTTTCATACAAAAATACATTTGTTTGTGTGCTGAGCATGAATGAGCATAATAAGAAATAAACAGGATTAATTATTTGAATCCAGCACCCTGGTAATGCATTGCCGCTGTCCATTTAAGCCTTAAATTCTAAACCAGAACTATTTTTGCTTGCTGTTTTCAGTCCAAGATGGCTTACCAGTCAACAGACGATGTTCTAAATCTGAATACCCGCAACTCTTTGCAGGGATGCACAAAAAGTCCATGGAGGGAGCGACAACCCCACCAACAGGAAAATGCGATGCCCCCCAGCAGCCGAGTGCACAGAGGCCAGAGGACGCTGAGGTGGAGGAGAAGAGGTCAGAGGTCAAGTCCATCATTTCTAAAGAGGAACTGAGAGAGAACAGCATTGCTGCACTCAGGGCCAAGGCACAGGAGCACAGTGCCAAAGTGCTGGGGACAGTGTCTCATGAGAGACTGCTGGAGGACAAACAGGAGAGACAGGCAGCTGAGGACAAGGCCAGTGATCCCCCGAGTCCAGAGGAGCAGAGAAGTCCATAGAAGCAGTCAAGATCTTGGACATCATCACGAGTGAATGGATCCAGTTTGGACTTACAGACTCAGATCCCAGTCTTCACTGACTTCTCTGAACTGGCCTCCATCAAAACGTCTGTAAAGACAGACTGGCTGCTGTCTAACAGATGCAAACGCACTTTTTCCAGATTTATTTCCAGACTTGGTTCTTCTCCGTAGCAGACAGCGTTTTGATGTATATAGATTGAGCTGGAGAGCAACAACGTACCCAGTAGAAAAACTTTTGCTGATTAACTGTAAGGAGTTAGAGAGAAAATTACATTTAGTTCACGACATTTATTCTGTTCATGCTTATATTAAACTGTTACATTTTAGATAAGGCTCATCCCACCGACAGAAAGAGAAAGAAAGTAATTGTTGACCTATACCCCACTGTATATAACTGGTATATTAATCTCGCTCACAACGGCACCAGTTTGAAACATGTTTTCTTGTAGTCTTAACTGTGTCTGTGTTTTGATTTTGATATATGTACGAGTCAAAATTCAAACATAAAACGGAAATCACTGTTTATTAAATGGACGTTTTGTGCTCTATTCTTCCACTTCCCTTCAGAAAGTACTTGACTTATCGTACGAAAACGATTTTATTGCCACACCGTCGCTCTTAGCTGGCGTTAAGTCACGGCGGCTGTTGAAAAGCCACTTGTTACTCAATGCGCCGCTGCCAGGACTCATTAGAAGAAGGTTCACGGCTGCATGCTTGGGTTAGTCCTGATAATCTGTTGCAGCTGAAAGCCTTCAGTTTCAGATTAAACCAGGGAAGCAGCACTTTTGGGACATGAGAAAGAGAGGAAAACCCCTCCTAAGCAGGGATGGCTCAGTCTGACTTCAAAACATTTTCATAGACACTGTTACCGGCTGATGCACAAGCTGTTTCATCCTCTTATCGGAGTACTTAGCTAAAGTCTGACAGCTTAAATTGTTGGCAATCTTCACTTTCCCCTGCGGTTCATAAAACTTTGAATCAATAGATTAGAACATGGCTTTATGTTGAAGCACTACTGCTTCACGTTGGATGATTTTTACTCAATGGAGCTTCTTAATGGGTTGAACATCCGATCTTTATTTAATTTAGGCAAGTGAAAAAGGAGGCAAGGAGCAACTATTCTCAGTGATTTGACACATGCCTCAATAGTGATGGTCTCAGATTTTATTTGTGATGAAAAAAATTGCTAATAGTATTGACAGAGAAAAGAAAAAAAAATGTGAAAATGAATTAAATGGGTCAGAAAATTAAGCAAATTTGACATAGTATATATCTTTGTCTATTCAGGAGAATAATATACTACTGCAGTTTATTAATTTATATATTTATTTGTTTCAATTCAGTTCAGTTTATTTATACAGCACCAAGTCAAAGCAGAAGTCATCTCACAGCACTGAACACAAACATCCATATATACTGTATATAAAAAGTAAGCTAATAACATTTATTTAATCTATTTATTTGTGGGAAATGAGTGACTTTCTAACCAAGGGACAACTTTTAATTTTATTATTCAAAGTGAAAGAAAAATTGATAAAAGTTAGACCCTGTCGCATCTCAGTGTTATTTAAATCTTTATTTTTCCAGGAAACAAATCCATTTGAAGTGCGTTTCATAGTTAATTCTACAAGTTTAGATTTGTTTATATGTTTGTTTATTTTACACCTGGTCTGACCTAACTTATAAAAAAAACATTGTTTTCCATATAAATCATGATTATTAAGTTTTACACACATTCTCCTCCCAGTTCCTTCACTTGGGTCAAGACATACACAGAGTGAGGATTATGACTTTAAAAGTTCAAAGCTATTTAATCCTCTGAGAGTGGAATAAAATGTTTTGATAGATCAGATTTGCCAGAGATGAAGCTGCTTACGTTCAATATGAGGAGGTAATTTACAGAATCCCTCATGATGGGCACACTGCAGCTTCAAGGCCATTAGAAGATCACTTCAGTTCATGCAAAGTGAGTGAGGAGCTTTCTGGAAAGATTTTGTCTAATGCATTATTAATATTCAATTTATTTTTGATGTGGTTCTGAGAAATATGGCTTCACTGGGGAGATTAGGTATATAAAAATGATATTTGGAAGTTTTTTAGCTTCAGTTTCCTCTGACCTGGATTCAGGTGGAAGCACTGCGTGGTTAAATGTGAGGCTGCACTACCCTCTGCTGGACAAATACATTATTGCAGCAAAAGAGCAAACGAAATCAGGGCCAAATCTTTCAGTAATTAAGCACAAGATTTCTGTTTTTATATTTAGTTTTCAGATTTTTAGGCATTGAAGCATGCATTTTTGAAAAATGTATACTCATTAAGGACTGGACTATAGAAATTAAAGCTGAAACAGCGCAAATAAAAACAAAAAGAGAAGTTTAACTCTGTATCACGTTAGCTCGAAATAGAAGATAAAACATTTTTTCAAAATTTGGCCAACGGTGCATCTAAATACAATGCTTTATGTATTTATTTTTACTTATAAACAAGATGTAAAAGGCACTTTCTGACTTAGTGATGAGTCAGGTTTGTTTTCATTGTTCATCAGCAGTTGGAGCACTTTAATTGAAAGGAGACATTAAAATTAGAAGCATCAAGTCCATCCCATAATCATTCATGTTTGGTCTTCAAAGCCTTAGTTTCTGAACTGAGCTGCTCAGTCAAAATGCGTGTTTTATTAGAAATGAGAAGTTAACGAGGTGTTAATAATTTTCATATTTCAGTGTAATATGTACAGTTTGCATATGGATGTTAGCACACTGTTCATTTTTAGTGTGTTAGTGTAATGCTTTTATACAAGGAGCCACCAACTTTGTTCAAAGAAACAAGACTTTAAAATTAAATTAAATAAATACATGAAACACTACATGTAAATTCTAGATGGAAATATCAAAACCTAAATTACATTTTTTTAACATATTATGGGTAAATTAACTAAACAATTTAAAATAAAAGAAAATAAATATTTTACAACAACTAAAACCAAACAACTCCTCCTCGCAATCTTGAACGAAATACCAATAAAAGCTCACAGTTTAGTCTTAGATTAAATTAAATGAAATTAAATTTTGTTTATTTATATAGCGCCAAATCACAACAAAGTTGTCTCAGGGCACTTTACAGGAACATTCACTCGTAAAAAAAAAAAGCCAATTAGTAAAGTTCTCTATCTAAGGAATCCAGCAGACAAGTTGAATCTTGGCTTCGTTGCAGTCTCCCATCCTGAGCAAGCACAGTGGCAACAGTGGAAAGGAAAAACTCCCTTTTAAAAGGAAGAAACCTCCAGCAGAACCAGGCTCAGGACAAGCGGCCATCTGCTTTGACCGGCTGGTTGAGAGGACAGGAAGGAGAGACAAATGAATACAGAACACAGAATGGTAGGTCCAGATGTTGGTCCAGATGTAGGTGCAGGTGTAGGTCCAGATGTAGGTGCAGGTGTAGGTCCAGATGTAGGTCCAGATGTAGGTGCAGGTGTACCTGAAAGACAAAAATACATGTCAAGGATAGAAAAAATAATTACAAATACAAAACAAGTTGAGTAGAGTAAGTAAAGAAAAGCATAGTGGAAAAAATGTGGTCAGTTTGTCCTCCAGCAGTTGAAGCCTATAGCAGCATAACTAAAGGATAGATCAGGAAACCCAAGCCAACACTAATTATAGGATTTATCAAAAAGGAAAGTCTTAAGCCCAGTCTTAAAACTGGACAATGTGTCAGCCTCATAGACAGAAACTAGAAGTTGGTTCTACAAGAGAGGAGCCTGATAACTGAAAGATCTTCCTCCCATTCTGTTTTTGGAAACTCTAGGAACCACAAGTAAACCTGCAGTCTGAGAGCCAAGTGCTCTGTTAGGAAAATACGGAAAACTAAGATCTGTAATATAAGATGGAGCTAGGTTGTTGAGAGCTTTGTAGGTTAGAAGCAAGATTTTGAATTCTATTCTGGATTTGACAGGGAGCCAATGGAGAGAAGCTAAAACTGGAGAGATATGATCTCTCCCACTAACTCCAGTTAAGACTCTGGCAGCAGCATTTTGGATCAACTGAAGACGTTTTAAAGAAGTATTTGGACACCCAGATAACAAACCATTGCAATAGTCCAGTCTAGACAAATGTATGAACAAGTTTTTCTGCATCACTTTTAGATAAGATGTTTCTAATTTATTGATATTACGCAAGCGGAAGAAGGTGGTTCTAATAACGTTTTTAATGTGGGGGTTACTTCCTTTTCTCATTTTTCTCATTGGTTTCACGTGTTGGCTATGAAATTTGTTTTTGGAAAGATGCTTTTTGTTTTCTCATGTCTCCTGTTCTTTTGGTGCATAACACACCACAGTCTGTCTTTTGATTAACTTATCTCCTCTGGACTACCTGTTTTACATGGGTCCATGTAAAGTCAGGTGAAGCAGTAAAAACTTCTGCTTTCATCAACACCATCTTATTTTTTATATTAGTTGTATTCTTTAATTGATTGCAGTATATAGTAAGATTTCTTTTAGCTATTTTTTTGATTTAGTGACCCTACAAATATCAAAATGTGTTCCTTCTGCATTACTGTATGTTTGGACTTCAAAGTTTCATGCATGATGAACAGAGTTTTATTATTCTGTAATTTCACTGTTTCCCTGAAGGGTTATAAGTACTGCATGAAACTTCCACTGCAAAACTCAACTCACTCTTCAGAAGCTTTGCAGAAGTAAAAAAAAAAAAAAACCCACAATATACTGAACACATATCCAGTAAATTTCTCTTAGAGCAGGCTCAGTCATCAATCACCTTTTATTGTTATTGTATTATATAAACAAGATTCTGGTAAATGAAACGTATATTTCACCTAAAATATTTAGGCGTGAAATTGCACAGCCTTAACCTACCGTGTTTTTCAGACTATAAGACACTTAAAATCCTTTAATTTTCTCAAAAATTGACAGTGAGCCTTATAATCCGGTGCACGTTATGTATTAATTCTGGTTGTGCTTACTGACCTCGAACCTACTTTATGTGGTTATTGTGAATGAGTTGAATAAAATTTGACTTATCTGACTGTTTTCATTCATTCAGCTTTTATTTAGACAAGTTAATCCCATTGAGCCTCAAGGACTCATGTACAAGAGAGACCTGATAATGTGCCTCATAATCCTTAATAATAAATAAGGGGCAGATATTACAAGAATTTTATTCTTCCTTCTGCGCCCTTTTCATTCAATGTTTTTTTTTTTATGAATTTGTTTTGTTTCTTTTAAATGAATGAATGAATAAATAAATAAATAATCTGCTGCGCTTTATAGTCCAAAAAATATGGTGCGGTATATGTTTGTATGCAGACATGATTTGTTGAATATAAACTGTTTCATTGGT